TTGCCCTCCTGAGGATTTACCCCCCTTAATGACCAGGCCTTTTTTTGCTACTCGGTGCTGCACTAATTCAACTGATAATTGCGCGGTCATGCAATGCTGTACCCAAATGAAATTTACGTCCTTTTTTCACACAAATAGAGCTTTCTTTTGGTGGCATTTGATCACCTGTGCGCTTTTTATTTTTCACGCTATAAAGAAAAAAAGACCAAAAATTGTGAAGAAAAACTATATTTTTTACTTTCAGCTATAAAAAAATATATAGCAAACTCAAAGTTGGTTATAAATTTAGGCCAAAATGTATTCTGCTACATGTTTTTGGTAAAAAAAATCCCAATAAGTGTATATTGCTTTGTGTGAAAGTTATAGCGTCTACAAACTATGATATAGATACTGCAATTTATGCCATTTTTTTGCTATACAGCGCTGCGCTAGTTTAACGGACAATTGCGCAGTCATGCCATACGGTACATAAATGAAATTTATGTCCTTTTTTTCACACAGTTCTTTTGTAAATACGCTAAAATATCCCATCAATTCTTCCAACGATATTCATAAACAGTCCACCTCAAAGAAAAGAGAACTCATATAGTGCATTATCCTTTATAAAGTTTATATATATAAAAAACTTTATATGTACTTCCTACAGTGAAAATAGGTGAAAAATGGTGAAAAAACGTGAACCAAACGTGATCAGTGAAAAACACATCAGTGTATATAACCCTCTTTTAGTGCCACATCACAAAAACTCCAATTCAAAAAAGTGTACACTTCTAAATGCAGTAAGGATACCCTTACCAACTTTCCCTATAAAATAGGCTTTATAATAATCCAGAAACTCCACAGGCTGAACCGCTTAGGAACCTTTGCTGTATCCTGCAGCCACCACACTCTCTGGATTCCTCAGACACTCTGCTCACAGTACAGGACATAGTGTGATACCGCCAATAAAATTAACAACATGCACTTTATTTGAAACTGCTCACATTGCCAATGCTTTAAAATCGCATTAGAGGGAGTACATGAAGTATAGGAATCTCACGGTCATCCAGGGAAACACGTCCAGGTACACCTGCTCGATCTCTCCCTTAACAAAAATGGCCGCCAGGTAACTTCCGGTTTCCGGGAAAACGTCTCGACTTCACTGCACCTTGACGCGTTTTGTCATCGACTTAGTCATAACCCCTTAAAGGATAATGCACTATATGAGTTCTCTTTTCTTTGAGGTGGACTGTTTATGAATATCGTTGGAAGAATTGATGGGATATTTTAGCGTATTTACAAAAGAATTGTAGTGGACTATATATTGGTAGTGGATTTATATAATTGGAAAAATTTGGGGGATTAATGTGATTGTAGTATGATTTTTTGGAGCATTTGTTAATAACACTGTCACTTATATAATTTGGTACACTTTCAGGGGAAGGTGTTGATTGTGTTAGAGGGTAATTATAGTATTAAGGAGGTGGTTGATTTTTGACTTTTTTTCACACAAATAGAGCTTTCTTTCGGTGGTATTTGATCGCCTGTGCATTTGTTATTTTTTGCGCTTTTAAAAAAAAGGCTGACAATTTTGAGAAAAAAAAAACAATAGTTTGGACTTTTTGCTATAAAACATGTCCAGTAAAAAAATATAAAAATCAAATTTCGTCATAAATTTCTGCCAAAATGCATTCTGCGACATGTCTTTGCTAAAAAAAAAACCCCAATACGTTTAAATTAATTGGTTTACGTGAAAGTTATAGCGTTTACAAATGGTGGGAAAGATACTCTGATTTTTAATTTTTTTATACTAATAATGGCGGCGATCAGCGACTTATGGCAGCGATCAGTGACTTATGGTGGCAATCAGTGACTTATGGCAGGACTGCGGCGGACATTCTGACACTGGGGGGGAACTGACTTGGGGTCACTGACATCCCCAGTGACACCAATACAGTGATCAGTGCAAAAAAAAAAACACTGATGCTGTACTAATGGCACTGGGGAGGAAGGGGTTAACTTTTTTATTCACTGAAGGGTTAACTGTGTGAGGGGAGTGTTTTACTAGGGGGCGGGGGTGTGTACTGCGCAGGGACAAGCTGATCGGAGAGATAAACTCTTCTCTCCCGATCAGCGTGTCAGGAGCTGTCAGGGAACTGACAGAAAGCAGAGCTACTGCAGCCCTGCTCTCTGTTAGTGATTGCCGCTCATCGGCAGGACACAGCCGGTAATGACCGGCTGTGACCCGGCGACTGACACCCGCGGCCAGGAACGGCGGTGCAGGTAGGGCGGCGGCGCGCCTCATGCAAAAGTTTTGCAAAAGTGCGGTTTAAAACGTGCTTTTGCCCAGCCATGCCGCCCTGCCACCGATATTCTACAGTGGCTGAGCGGCAAGTGGTTAGGTGATTCAAAGGAAAGCAAAATCTTCAAACATTTTTCAGTTTTATATAGTGAATGTTTGAGTTTGTAAAGAAGAATACAAACACTGCTATTTTTTTTGAACAGTCTAATATTTACTTTTCTTCAATTTTTTTTAGAGGAACAACACAAATTTGATATTCTTCTTCATGTTTTGATTTGGAATAGAATGTGTAGTGTTCCCAATGCATTTGTGTGTATGGAAATAAAAGCTATTAGAAGGATTTTGAGCTTTATTCACTTTTTTCAACACACTCCTATTATTTTGAACACAACTGTATATATCATACTTGGCAATGCTCCTAGAAGCTGGAAATTACTTAAGTGGACGCCACTACTGCAGCAATCTCCACTCACTTCCAGGTCTGAACAAAGGAGGACGCTGCTCAGGATGGGCGCCATTCAGAGAGTACTTTGCCTTTTCTGAATGAAAAGTGTTCTCTGATTGAACAAGATGGAGAACGCGAAGTCACCGCCTGTACTGAAAGAAATATAAACGCTGGCATTACTATTACTGGCCTAAACACTGCCCTGGAATAAGCATGCGACTAGTGAAGTCAGAGGAAAGTAAGAACTCCTAATCTACTTATTTGCCCTGGATCAGCAATTCAGAAAGTATGAGACAGACTAACACCTGACAGTCCTGGTGTGGTGCTAACACATGTACATTATGTTGGATGTTACCATGCATTGCGTTAATACAGACCATTGTCAGCAATGAATCGCATCACAGTGCACATCAGTGCAGTACCATGTTTTTTTGGTGCGCGGCAACATTAGATTGAATGGTACCACAGGGTGCCAATGTGTGTAGAACATGCAATACTGCAAGGCATAGGTGTGACTCCAGCCTCAAAGCCTTTGGGTCATTGTGACAGCCAGGCCACTAGCATTTTTGAAAAGTGAGATTAACAATGGCAGGCTGTGTATTTTCTCCCTATAGGTTTCTTTCAGTTTACCAGCAATTTAGTGCTAGGCAGAAGAACAATATGGCTGCAAATGAACTCTGACACTGTTACAAACACCAGGAAATGTGTTGGGGTATTTTCCACATTTTTACTACAAGAAGTACCACAATAACAAATGATATATACAGCTAAAACGTAAAGTGGATCTTCCCCCTATAAAACAACTTACTTTCACGTGACCCCCCCCCCCCTCCCTAACCACCACCACCATCTCCCCACAAATTACATACAATTGGCTTCCTAACCTTCTTCTTTCTCACTAGGTGAGAGGGCTTCCTTGAACTTGTGCAGGTATGGTAATTATTATACAGGTTTTATATAGCGCCAACAGTTTGCACAGCGCTTTACAAAATGAAGGTAGACATTACAGTTACAATATAATTTGGTACAAGAGGAAACAGAGAGCCCTGCTCGTTAGAGTTTACAATCTAGGAGAATCCCAGATTACAGCTGTCTGCACATATGCAGGAAAACCTGTGTTCTTCTTTAAACCTCCAGCAGGATTTTATTGATGTAGAGATTCACACTCTTCATTTGTGTTGGAGATAGTGGAAAATGTAAAATATCACAGATGTCATTGGAATGGGGAGAAAAAAAAGGACACCTGTTGTAGTGATAACTGTCTACAAATGAATTTCCTCTCACTTTGGAGAGATTTCTTCTCATTTCCTGGGACAAGGAAACGAAGACAAATCTCCCCAATGGGACACAGACCACAAAAAAATAAAGCTGGCACATGTTTTTACCAATTCTGTACACTATTCAGAACGTAAATAAGACTATAATTTTCCAGTCTAAGGCCTCATTCAGACCATGCATGCAGAAAAATTTATGGCAACTGATGTGCAGTTTTCACTTGCAGAGACTTCAGTTTACAGGCGCACTTCAATGAGTTTTATACACATTGCAGACTCCTGTGCAGAACAAATCTACACGTGATACTAGTGTTGTGGTGTGAACAGGGCACATAGAGAACAATTAATTTTGTTGTGCCCTTGCAGAAGAACTGATGGCTTTGCACCATGGTGTGAATGAGCCCTAAGACATCGAACAACTAACAAAAGTCAGCCTGTTGGGTACATTTGTCACATTTTGAATTTTTGGTTCACAAAAATATAAATTGATGTAACATTTTGCAGAAATTAGATAAGTATATTTCATTTTGCTATTAACCACTTGTCTACAAGGCACTTTTATCCCCTTCCTGCCCAGGCCAATTTTCAGCTTTCAGCACTGTCTAACTTTGAATGACAATTGTGTGGTCATGCAACACTGTACCCATATGAAATTTTTATACTTTTTTGAGACAGATATAACTTTCTTTTGGTGGTATTTAATCACCTCTGGGTTTTTTATTTTTTGCTAAACAAACCAAAAACAACTGAAATTTTGAAAAGAAAAACATTTTTCTTAGTTTCTGTTATAAAATTTTGTAAATAAGTGATTTTTCTCTTTCACTGGTGTGTGCTAATGAGGCTGCAATGATGGGCACTGATAGGTGGCACTGATGAGGCACTGGTAGGTGGTACTGATGGGCATTGACAGGCATAACTGATGGGCACTGAAAGGCAGCACTCATAAATGGCACTGATAGGCGGCATAAATATGCAGCACTGACAGGCGGCACTGACTGGCACTGATGGCACTGATAGACGGCACTGACGGGCACTGATAGGCAGCACCGACTGGCACTGAATGGTGGCACTGATTGGCAGCACTGATAGGCAGGTCAGATGGGCACCGATATGTGGCATTGATGTGCACTGGTAGAACTGATATGTGGCATTGATGTGGTACTGGCAGGTGGCATTGATGGGCACTGACAGGTAGCATTGATGGACACTGACAGGTGGCACTGATGGGGCTACACTGAACATCAGTGCCCTGATGCTCAGTGTACATGTCTCCTCTGAGGAATGGCGATTACCGGCTCTCCTCTCCTCACAAGCTCTCAGCGTGACAGCTCGTGAGGAGAGGAATGCCGATAACCGGCATTTCCTTATTTACATACGATCAGCTGTGATTGGACACAGCTGAACACATGACAGAGCCGACGTCATCGGCTCTTTCCGCTGATTGGTGATCCGCTGTGTCCCAGGGACACAGCGCACCACCGATCAGCGAACACTCGGTGAATATGACATCCTCCCAGAACGAGAGAACAGCCGTCCGTCATTTCCTTATATGGTAGGCGGAAGGTGGTTAAAACCTCCTAGATTGGTAAGAAATAGCATTATATTTATGTTTCAGAAAATAAATAGTCATGGAATAATCTATTTTGCAAGTATTCAATAAATAGTCATGGAATTTTGCAACTAAACCCAATGATTTAACAGTTTAAAAAAACAATTACGGTGGCGATACTGTCATGAATTGTAGGTTGGACATATAATTCACATGGGAAAAGTTGGGTTAAAATAGAAAGTATATTAAGTAATACACAATTAGAGAGAATTATTTGAATACCACAAAGTTTCGTATTATGGATGAGACTAGTAGTACATTGACACAGGAGGTATTAAGAGTATGGGATAGATTGCACAAGCAAATGGATTGGAAGTACAATTTGCTGTTGATTCCCCTGGTGGGTACTGAGTTTTTCCCTCAAGGGAAGGATAATATTTAAGTTTAAAGATGTAGATGCATGTTTGGGGGATATAGTAATTAAAGGGAAGTTGGGCACTTTTCAAGATTTAAAAAGTAAAAAAGAATTATTTGTGGCATTAGATGAACTGAGATATTATCAATTAAGACATTTTGTTGTTCTCTGAGACTATTAAAGAAGGTGATCCATGAGTTTCAATTGGTAGACTCATGGAGAATTTTGCATATGAAGGATAGAGACTACACATTCTTTTCAAATGCACATGAGATGTATTCAAGGTTGGATTATATACTGATAGAACATCAATATATAGAGTCAATAGTTAAAGCAGATATAGAAGTAATGACCCTTTCAGACCATGCCCCTGTTGTATTTTTTTTTTTTTATATTTAAATATTTATTAATTTTTCATAAAGATAACATTACACTTTCAATCTTTTTCATAATAAATACACAATTCCTTCTTATCCTTTATTTTTTCCCTTCTTAAAAAACATTACCCCCTTCCTCCTCCCCCCCCAAACAACAACCCCCCCCACTCTGCGTTCTTCCCTACTTTCTGTCTAAAGCAAGCGTATCCTACCCCTCTTCTCTTCTCATTTCTACTGCTTCATATATATTCGTTTGAAGTACAAAATCTTCCCATTTCTCCCATCTCCTTTTATATATCTCCATCTTACCCTCTTGGATATAGTATAGTTTCTCCATCTTACTAATCTGCTTTACTCTCTCAAACCAGTCCCTTTCTCTCGGAACCCTCTAAACTATGCCAAATCTAGGTATCAACCCCTTTGCTGCATTTACATAGTACCATATACCGGAATCCTTGTATTTATTCACTGGTATATCTGTCTTATGTAACAGACACACTTCTGGATCTAATCCTATCTTTATCCCTGAGATTTTCTATTACAAGGTTGACCATTTTCTCCCAAAAACTTTGAATCCTTGGGCATCCCACCAAATATGAAACCACGTACCAATCCCTCCACACCCACGCCAACACTCTTGTGTTCTCTCTATACCCATTTTATGGTTCTACCTTTGGTGTGATGTGCCATCTTACCAAACTTTTATAGTTTACCTCCACTTTCTCTCATGCTCTGATATTTTCATGTGTGAGTCTATATATTTTCCTCTGTTTATCCTCATCTATCTCTGTCCCCAAGTCCTTTTCCCATTTTTCTATATACATTGGTTTTACCTCTGTGACTAATTCAGTGAGAATTTTTATATATTTTTGCCGTGCCCCGTTTCCGTTCCCCTCTCCCCGTGATTTCCAACAACTTCTCAAATAAATTCCAATCCTTTCTCCCTCTCATAGGTTTCGGAAGGCTCTCAACAAAGTGTTTTAATTGGTGGTATTTCCACTCATCGATCTTAATAAAAAAGTTCCCCTCCACCTTTCTTTAAATCTTTTATTGTTTTTAATTTTTGTCCATCCATAATATCCCTTAATTGAATGTCTTCCTTTTTAATCCATTTTCCCATAAATCCCCTCTATATACCTGGTGGAAAATATTCCATATTTCTTAGTGACATTAATTGTGAATTAAAATCCCACTTCATACGTTTATGTAAATTATCCCAAACCTTTAGAACATTCAGTGTATATACACTCGTGGTATTTTTTAAACCTCTATATTGTATTGGTGCCCATATGCTTCTACTCAGGTCAACTCCACTCAGTTCGTTCTCTATCTTAACCCACCCTTTTTCCCTTTTTATTTGTGTGTCCAGTCATAAATTCTTTTAAAACTACAGCGTTATAGTATCTCTTAAAATCTGGCACTCCCAAAACCCCCCTCTCTCTTTACCTCTACTCATCAGGTCATAAGATATTCTAGGTTTTTTTATTTTTCCATATAAATTTTGTTATCATCTTTTTAATTTCTTTAAAAAAGGCCTCTGGGAGACCCTTATTGGGATCATCTGAAATTTATACAATACTTTGGGTACAATTATCATTTTTTATCAGATTTATTCGTCCTAACCCAAGAGGGAGTTTCCTCTTTCCCATTATCCTCAGTTCCTCTTTGATCTCATTTAGAAGGAGCAATATAATTTAATTTATACAATTTTTGTATATGAAGCAGTAAGTTTTAACCCCTAAATATTTTATCTCTGTATCTCTCCATATAAAAGGAAATTCTCTTTGTATCTTTTCTTTCTCACCATTTGGAAGATTTTTTTACGTTTAAAGTTTTTGTCGGGTTGATTTTTAAGTTTGATATTTCCCCATACTCTTTTAAACTTCTTATTAAGTTCGGGAGTGTTATCCTAGGATTTTCCCATAAAACAGCAGGTCATCTGCAAAAGCTGCCCTTTATGTTCAGTTTCCCCTATTTGTATTCCTTTATATCTACATTCTTCCTAATTGTTTCCAACAAGGGTTCCAATGATAATACATACAACAATGGGGACAGTGGGCATCCCTGTCTTGTCCCGTTTGACATCCCAATGGGCTCAGACTTTTCACACCATTTACCAAAATAACCGCGGATGGCATTTTATACAACTTTCCTATCCACTCCCTCATTCTACCACCTACTCCCATGATCTCTAAGGGTATCCATCATAAAGCTCCAGTTTTTACTCTATCAAAAGCTTTTTTCGGCATCAATCGAGAGCACCACTGCTGGGGTTTTTCCCTTTTTTTTTAGCTTTCTGGATCAGCAACAGAGTTCTGAGATTCCGTTTGTCCCATACCCTCTCTAACTGATACAAAACCAACCTGATCTCCCTGAAATCCATTCCGGCATCAAGTCTTTCATCCTATTTGCTAAGACCTTTGCATAGGTATCTATATTTAGGAGCTGCAATTGGCTACACATGCCTATAACTATTTAATTGAGTAGCATCCTTCCCTTCCTTATGTATAGTGTTATATGGCTTTGTAGGGATTCCTGTCTAATCTCCATTTCCCCACCCAGGGCATTCATATAAATTTAGGTATTAACAGTTCACTATATTTTTTATAATACCAAACGGTAATATCCATCTGGGCCAGGGCTTTTTCCCCAGGCTATCTTTATTTCCTCCTGTGTAATTTCCGACTCCAGGGATTTCAATAGATCTTCATCTATCTTTGGTATGTCCTGCATTTTTTAAATATGTCCTTCTTTTTTCTCTGTTTTTATTTTCACTATTATTTGCTAAATTCTGGGAATTAATATTATACAGCTTGCTATAATATTCCTTGAATACCTTCCCAATCTCTTTAGTAGAGTGAGCCATTTCTCCCTTGGGCTTCTTATTTTTTTCTATATAAATTTCTATTTTTCACATTTTTTTCTCAGGGTTCTCATTAAGTGTTTTCCTGGTCGATCTCCCCATCTATACCTCTCTACTGCTACTTTATTAAGTACTCTCCTCCTTCTTCTTCCATTAATATCTCCAACTCCTTCTTCTTTCCTAATACCTTCTGCCTTATCTCACTTGTTATTCTATTTTTTATGGATCTGTTCCAGGTCGTATATTTCTTTTAAGAGCCCTGTCAGTTTCTTACTCCTTTCCTTTTTTTTTTTTGTCCCAGCGCGATCAATATACCCCTAATATATACCTTATATGGGATTCCCAGACAGTGGCCACTGATACATCCCCTGTTTCATTCTCTTGAAAGTATCTTTCCATCTCTTTTCTGATCTGCTGATCGATCTCTTGATCTAATAAAGGGCCTCATTTAACCTCCATCCTACCCCCCTTGTCAACTGCCTCCCCCATCTTACCTTCATTATAACTGGGGCATGGTCTGAGATAGTCATTGTCTCTATTTCTACTTTATCCACCCTCTCAATAAGTTGATGATCTACCATTATATAATCCAATCTCCGAGTAAGTCTCGTGTGCATTAGAGAAGAAGGTATAGTCTCTTTCCTTTCCATGCATTATTCTCCATATGTCCACTAGTTGGCCCTCATGTATCTCCTTCTTTTAAAGATTTTTCATAGACCTACCTCCCTCTCGTTGCACACGAGAGGTTGTATCCATCTGGGTCTAAACATAAGTTCAGATCTCCCGCCACTATCAATCTTCCCTTTTTTAAAATCCATCAGCTTTCTTAGTATCCCTTTCAGGTATATTTCAGGTCTCTTATTTGGGCAGTATATATTCGCTATTGGACACTCTATTTTTCCTGCAACCTACCTTTCAAAAACAAAAATCTCCCCTCAGGATCCGTCACTCTGTCCTCTACCTCCCACCTTACATTTTTTAGCAAACACAATTGCCACCCCCCTTAGCTCTCTTAATTGGGGAATCTGCATAAAACCATGTTGGATAGTTTTCTAGTGATTAATTTAATATTTGACTTAATCTCAAAATGCGTCTCCTGTAAAAAAACTACCGAAGCTTCTCTATGTTGCAACTCCTTAAATAGCTTAAATCTCTTCCCAGGACTGTTCAACCCCTTTACATTGTAGGTTATAAACTA